CCACCTACAAAACCATTTTGCATTACAATTCAGAATATCTCGAAATAAAATATCTCCTACATTATTTGACGATGAATAACCACAGTTGATAGATCGTTGTTACATATCGTACGATTTACCTATCCGATTTATTACTCATAATCACAGCAGATCTCATTCTGTAACAATATCTTCGGCAGTTGAAATAATAATCGAATAATCAACGTGGTTCTAGACTTGGGACAATGGGGGATATTTCGATGATGCTCTTACCCTATATTGGACAAAGGGGGTCTACATGATTGGTGACGATAAAATGTGATGTTTCATTTGGACACGTGACACCGGGAATAGAGAAGTAGGAAGACAATTTGTTTTGAATCTGTAAATATTCACAGGGTTTTGGTTTTATTTTTTATTGATGAAAGGCTCGGCTACTGCACGCATGAATGCGACAGGAAGTTGGTCTTTCCTGTTGGCAGATCAGTGCTCGGAGCGAACTGGTTTGGCGACGAAAGTGTTTCCACACTGCACGCCGGCGGAGAATAGAAATACGCATTGACCGATCAGACATAAAAGGCACTTATAAGAAAATGAACGAATGCAATGTCGAGAGAACATTTGTAAACAAGTACATTTTGAGGTTTTCTAGGCTGCAAGTCTGAAGATGGCTGTCTTGTAGAAGTTTACCAGCCTTTCAGAGGTCCCTGCTGCCACTATTGTGAGGGCGATACATCGCCCTCATGATGGAGGCAACCATCTTTATATATTAATATAAACAACAGTTCGTTTCTGAATAACGAAATCAATTTTATCGATCATCAGCATAAAATTATGAACTTTCAAACCATCAAAGTAGCTACTAAACTCCGCTTATCGAGATAATTAATGTTTTCTAAACCAGTTTCGAAATTCACAATAATTTCTGGAAACAGTTCATAAGAGTACATAAGTGGATCCCATCCTGATCCGTCCCAATCAGTTCACAACCTCCAATGCCTATCTCTCCATCTATTTCTGGCTAACCTAAGTGGCCTTTTCCCTTCTGGTTTTCCCACTGAATTTTGTATGCATTTTTCATTTCTTACATGTGTCTTTGGGAACAAGGTAGACCCCAAAAGGGGACATTTTGATACAAGAAGGAGATAGTGATAGCGTGTTGTAGGAAACTACAATGTTGCACTCTTCAACAAATATATCAGAATTATAAAACCGAGGAGCACGCGATGGGCGAGAAATTTAGAACGTACGGAACAGATGAGAAATATATAATTACACTCACATAACCTAAAGAGAAGGGACATCTCGTAGCTTTCTTCTAAAGGGTTTGCTGTATTCTCGAACATTTTCAAACAGCCACCGAGTCGTGCAATGGTATTTCGGATGCTAATAGTTTTATGATGACCGCAGTCAGAAATACAAAGTTTGATGTTAAGTGCGCAATTTTTTTTTTATCGTACAGACATCTTTCGCTGTTCCCCTCGCCAAATCTACATCATTAGCGTCAGAAGTGTCCGAACAATTTCTTCAACAGGTTCAAGGTTCTTGTTACAATCTTCAGTTGTGTTGGTAGCAGGCTGGTTGAAGTTCGTCTTCGAAAGCAGGAACCCTGCGTGGTGCTTTGCAGAATGCTTTCTTCGTGTTTGAATTTTTTTTTTACTTTACGAGATTATTTCGTAATATGCTCGGCTAACCTATTCAGGCCATGTGCTAAGCATTCCATGTGTATTAAATATTAATAAAACGTCTTTAGAACTGGTGATGAGAGATTTTACGATGTTGCATTTCTGCACAGAAGAATCTTTGTATCATCTACATTAGGATTTAAATTATCCAATCCTTCATTGATGAAGTAAGCAATTGATTAGCTCTTCAACTTCTCTAAAGTTTTCGAGGATAAAGATGGGGTTTGGAAGGCTTATCCGAATCCAATTTTTCAGGTACCATGTGGGATATTTACCCACCACGAACATAACCGGATGCAAGCATGACCAATATCCTCTCGTAATGATGCAGTCTACTCACTGCATGTACAGTCATCATTCATAAGCACCCTTTCACGTTTCTTTGGACGCTTGTAGCAACTGACGCAGCTGTATCAAATAACCGAACGACAATGAAATTGTTACGAGGTAAATGGATCTATCCAACAGATTGGTTTGGCAGTAAAAATAAATCTATAGCCGAATTCGTGCTGTATTATTGTTGGCAATTTAGCAAGGTCGAACGAGTGGGACATCTACTTAGTGATAAAAGTAAACTAAGGAAATGTAAGGAGAAGACCAGTCTTAGCAATGGAGGTTAAGTGACACTTGCAATGTTAATGCACTTCCGTCTTGCCAACTGCGCTGCATTCTCGTTACAAGACGCATCATGTCTCCATGACAACGTTTAACTGCCGTTTTGTTTTTCACATCAGCAAATGAAGAACGAATGTGTTCTGTTCATGTGACTTGGCACTTTCAAGCGGTAATCACCGGGTCAAAACGTAGTGGAAGTTTGCAGTAAACACATGCTTCATAGTCTCCATTCCGTGCGTTGTTTAGTTGGAGTCCAACGAACTGCTTATCTTGGACATCTGTGTTGTTTTGTTCTTCAGACAGTAAGTTTTCTAGATAATGCAACCGTGAAGTCTGTCTACGCAGTGTGGGTCGCCATGGCTTACGACAGAAGCGTCATATATATGGCAGATTTAGAGGAATGCTTGCTACAAGCCTGAAAAGTTACAGATTTAAGATTGAACTATATATAATTAATAATTTTACCTCTGTTTTCTTGTGGGTGTTAATTCAATCTCTTACATGAATAGAAAAACATCGATGATGTTTAAGAACAGAGTTGTAAAGAGACTATTTGATCCTGAGAGAGAGAAAGTGACAGGAAAAAATGTAATAGTCAGGAGGTTTATGATTTGTACTCGTCACCAAATATGTTTTAAGATGAGGGTGGAGGAGGGTACCGGCTTTTCCATGTTATTTGCCATGTTGAGCGTCAGTTTTTAAGGCCTATAAAGCTGGATGTACACCAAGGTAACTGCGAACTGCGGCTCAATTTCAACTAGACTGCCACCGCATCTGAACAAACACATGAGTCATAGGCCGCAATGTATACATCGGAAATCCTATCCCAACTGCAACGCACATGGAGAAAATTCGGGAACTCAGCCGAGAAGTAACCAGGCATGTCAGTTTCCTAGGAGTTGAATTTCCGTACAGGTGTGGAAAAGAAATATCTTGAAGAAAAAATATTTTATTCGGGAACATTGCTTATACGACAAAGTAGCCCCGATCATTGTAGGCGAGATAAAACTGATCTTGAGTGACGCAGGATTGCGTAGGAATTAAAGGAGATAAATGGGTGTAAAGCGGGTGAACCCAATTCTCCCCTCCTCCTCCTACCCCATTATGAAATATCCACTGGATCAACATTACGTGGCATTGCGAAGGGTGAGAGAAATTTCCTGAATGAACACTCTTGCCTACGCAAAACTACTGAACTGACAAATGGTTTCCTCTATGTACACGCATTCAAGAAGCGACTGGGAAATGGCTGTCTTCTGGATTGTAGCGCCGTGTAGTCTGGTAGAAGTTTACAGACATTTCAGAGGTCCTTCCTGCCTCCGTCATCAAGGTCGCCCTAACAGAGGCAGAAAGCAGCTCTCAAACGTCGGCAAACTTCTACCAGACTACACGGCGCTAAAACCCAGAAGACTGCCATCTTTATGGTCACTGCAGAACGTCTGATACTACTTACGAAGCAAATGGTTTTCCACTAAAAAATTTGAGTTGTTGAAGTTTCATTGCAGTTTCTAGTTGCCTTGGTGTATATTTGTCCTAACATGCAGGCCTATGAGCATTTGTAGTATTAATTTATAATAATGGTACTGTTTAAACTGCAGAGCGTATAACAGGGAAATGTCCGAGGCATGTAAGAAATTATACGTAAGCACGCGCGCGCGCACACACACACACACACACACACACACACAAAGCTTCTGAAAATGTGAAGGCAAGACAACTTGGAAGAACTAGGCGTAGATGGGAGGATTTTTAAATTCTCGTGAACCTGGTTATGAACCTTCGGACTCATAAAAGGAGAGAAATATTTTCAGTAGTTGATGGACTATTAGCTTTTCAAGAAGAAATCTGCTTCATGGAATTGGTAACAATTGAGGTCATGTTTCTCCAAAAGAGTTAAGTGGGTCATTAGTCTGCATGGTTTTGCATGATTCAATACACTGTCCAGGCATACGCGCTAGACACAAACAAATCAATCTGAATAATCAATATTCTATTCAAGATTAAAATTGGGCTTCATGAATCAAAGTGAGCAGTGATACCGCTGTGCTAACGTCCTCGGTAACATCTGTCTCCAAGTCATAATTAAAGATGCACCAGAACCGCTAAGCAACGGTTATGTGCTTGAAAAAGCAGCACATATAACCTTCAATTAGGGTCAGTTCATTACAAAACTAAGGTAATAAGTGCACTTGACCTTGATTATTCCGAACCTCACGCGACTCCTTGGAATTTTATTGATACCAGAGAAGTCGATTGAACAGTTAAATTGTGTTCCATAAAAACGGGTAAATTCTAGACCTGTTGAACTACGTAATTTCTAATAAATTCAAACCTAACCCTGTAACATTTAGCAACGACTAACCGAAAAAAATATTATCAACAATTCTGGAAGCAAATGCACGTCAGAATTATAACGAATCCCCATTCCTAGAAATTCCTCTTAGTGACAGATATGTCGGCTAGCAATAACAGAAATCATTTCAGAAACGCAGGAGACACCGGAATTTTTCGTGATGTTAGTAAATTCCTGAACAGAAATCGTCAGAATTTTGAGGTCGAAAGAAATGGACATACAATTTTCAACTCCGAAAGTAATAGCTATTTATTCTGAGGATTATACGAAACTCTTAAATGCACTCCGTGGACAAATTCAGTTACCGAATGGTAAAGCAGACGTTACTTTAAAGGCTTAACCAATGGCCTGTTACGGCTCGCACTTACCACTCTGTAGGCGACTGCGGTGGAACTCAATGCGGCAGGCAACTTCTAACGTCACACGCTGTCTGTCAGGAGTTGATGACCACCATCAACAACACCAACAACGGCTCCACCTGGTGCCAGGTTACAGAAACTCATGTTGATTACTGCTGTGCCCAGGAAAATGGACCAAGGTAAGTTACGCCTGAGATGGCGCATCGGGTTTGGAGTTAGGCCTACTGTTGTAGGTTATTTTACAACGCTGTTTCAACTGTTTGAATTCTGTAGCAGTTACTGATGGTTGTGATGAATGAATCAGCAGGGAAGTGCAAGGTAAATGTCCTGACCTGTTTCACGGTACCAACTCCATGGAACAAAGTTCTTGAGAGGGAAATACTCGCTCGTCTTATCAAGGAAATTTTATGAAAGCTTAATGCTCATTACGGTATTCACAAAAGCCAGCTGCTGATCCATATCCTGAACCAGATAAATCTAGTCACAGACTCTTGTCTTATTTCTTCAGATCTATTTTAAATATCTTTCCATCTAGGTCTTCCCATAGGCTTTCCAAGTGATCTCTTGCCTTCACGTTTTCTGGATAAATTTCCCATGACAACCGTGTAATCGAATTTGAGGTTTTCACGGTAGTGAGTCTGAAGATGGCTGTCTTCTGGTTTGTTGCGCCGTGTAGCGTGGTAGAAGTTTACCGATGATGGAGGCAGCAAGGACATTTATCTTCATTGCTGCCATGAAAGAGAACGTAGAATGAGTGTTGTGAAGATTAATTTGAGGCCGGACTCGTGGTGGGACCGAGAACAATCCACGACTCATCCCAGCCAAGGGCCAATTCAACAGAACTTCAGCGATCTGTATCGTGCACGGACGTAACTTTCTGCATGTGGGGGTACCATTACCTGATTTGCATGTGACTGATTATCTCGTGTTGGGAAACAGAAATCACTCTTAATGCAGGAGAGATAAATAGTAAACAAACGTAACCAAACCATACGTGTATAATAAATTGGAGTGCTGACAGATCTAATAAACAATAAATAGGAATTATTCTTTTTTTATTTCGTTAAACATAGACTTCATTATTCAATGAAATATTACTTGTTCAAACGATAGCTTTAAGCATTAAATAAAGATATATTTTATATCGTCTTTCTACTTTTTGTACAAACAAGCTTTTTATAAGTTCGGTAACTTAAATTTTACCTTCATGTCCTGTATCCTAGGTGTCCGATGGAAAGTTTTACAAACAAGCTTTTTAAGCGTAATACTGTTTTGTTGAAATCCTCTAAATTATCCATGAATTGTAAAACGCAGGCGGACAGAGATATGTCTTTTATGCGTAAAGTTAATTTACCAAATGGAAAATACAAATATGTAATATATCAGGTTCTAGCGACAGCGAGTATGCAGATGACTGCCAGCTTTCTGGGATGTTGCGCCGTGTAGTCTGGTAGAAGTTTACCGACGTTTCAGTGGTGCTAGCTGCAACCATCATCTGTGCTAAAAATAATAGCTGTTATCCTCGTCTTCAACACACCCAGCAATATTAGGTGAGGAGTAAAAAAAATTATGAAGCTCCTCATGTCGAAATTGTCTCCAGTCTCTAGTTACTTCCTCCCTCCTAGATCTATTCTTCTCAACTTCCTGTTTTTGAACACTCAGACGATTCACGTAGAATGCGTTGAGATTATATATTCTGTGCAGAATCCATCTGGCATCCTCTTGATCATCACATCACGATGATTTCAGCTAGTTCCACACAGGCCGTGTTTGCCCATTAAATTATTTTGTAGTAGTTACTGATAACGTCGGCTGCTTACCCTAAGTAAGTCACGCATTGGAAAAGTGATCACCCAGTTAAAGGGAATTAAAGTCTTGATTCTGTGTTTGCCGTTCGTAATAAACACACCATCTTGTCAGTCGAAAGAATTCATTCCAATTTAGGATGATGATTACCAGATATTTCTCCACGAAATTAAATAGTCAATGCATGGTTAAGCACGTGGAGAATTTTATGACATTTTCGACAGTTATGATTGTGCTGAGAGATTAGTTATACTACTCCCAAGAACATATTTGAATGGAATGGTACGACTTCTTACGTTAAATGTATGGAATTCATTTTTTCACAGCGGCGAACACTTAGATTGTGGCCTTGTGGGTCATGGCACAGTGTAGACTCGTAGATGGCTGCCAATGTTGCAGAGGAATCTACTGCCTCCATCTACAGGATTCTAAATAAAATTGAATTTTTGTCTTTCCGATCGGATTTCGGCCTTGAGCCGCGTCGTTTAAATAATTTTGACGTTTCGGCAAAAATTTCACTACCCAAACGAGCAAGGGCTAAGAAACAAAGTGAAGACCTAGTTTTCATAAGCCACGCTTTAGACAACTACAATAATATTCGCAAATCTCAAAACCGTGACTGCTGGTAGACTTCCAATACCCCAATGCTCTGTACAGTTTTTTCTAGTTCCTACAGACAAGTGTCGGGTTAGAAGGCCTACATTCTAATTCTGCATTAATTCCATTTTACCGCCAGACAGAGATCAGACAGGATAAATGAAAGGCCTAACAAACTAATCATAAATCATCTTCTGTTCCATGTAGACACTGATAGGCTCTCTGATCATAATGAACATCAAGGCCGATGAAGGAAAATATTAACTCCGAACATTTCTATAATCGTCTTTGAATTTTATAACAGCTGGTTTCTTGTTCTACGTCTTCACGCAAGATGTGACATCATAGAAATGTTATAACACTTCGGTCATGATAAGGTCAAGTGAGTCTTAGAATAAGAATTGCATCAGAATTACAAACAAAACCACAAAGAGGTGAGAACCTCATCACACACTGGTCTGAAAAGGAGCTGGGAGCTACAGAAGCGAACTGTAATACTTCAATCACTTGTCCGTCTTTTTCGTGTCCTTTCTTTAGGAAACACAGTAGGCTTATAAAGTCACATTTTCCTGTCTCCACTTTTAACTTCTGAACTACTTGCAGTCCACCGATTTGACTCTGCCAACGATAGCGGTACCAAAATAATCTCTACAATATTTACAATTACAAGCATTCGATCTTGTGACCACGAGGTCAACACACTAACCCAAGAGCTAAATTACAGTGCGTCGTCTTCATGGTGAATGTCTCAGACTACAACGACAGAAATAATGCTTAACTAACAAAGAATCGAAAATGATGTGAAACAAAGTAGTCGTGACTTAATTGAAATACGTATCGGCATGTGGGGTAACTAAATAAAACCACGAAAAGCATCAGTCAGGACATTCAGCATCCTGGCCAAGATTTTAATCCGGAAATGTATTTCGAGGAGACACCCTCATCGCCATGTTAGTAGTTCAGTAAGCTTCTGTTGGTGATGAAAACGGGCTGATTATGAAGCGAGGATAAACGTGCCTGAAGAAAATTACTTGGACAAGTGGTGGGCACAAAGTTTTATGGTGTATAAAACAACAAATTGGTACTTTACTCTTAACGTGGATGGATACATGAATGTTACATTGTTCTAGGTATATAATACAAATATATATGTATATATATTACAATAGAGCGTGGTAAAACACGTTGCAACGAAAGTATGGTTCAAGGATGCACTGGATACTCATGTCGATGGACTTCGCTGTAGTGCACAGGTTGCATACCAATATTTGGATATGGATTTGTAAATATATGAAGCCTCAAAATATAAGTTTCTCGTGAACATCTGTTCTCAGTAGCCCGTGTCTGTGATATCGCTAACTAATTTAGTACTGATATGCAAAATACTGATTAGTTCTGTCTACAAGCTACGTTCTTGTTCCACTACGAATGTTGGAAACCTATAAAAATGTTCAGTCAAATAACTACTAAAATATTGTTTCTAATCGCACAGTCGCGATCACATGTGCGCAGTATGCGGAGACCAACCCCCACATCAGGCTAAAAAAAAAGATTAAAAAAATGTACGTATATAGTAAAATCACATTCTACTCAAAGGCGACAGAATTATACATAAGAAGTGGAAATTTTGATTTGATCGATAGAATGGACAAGACGGAGAAGAGTTCAGATATGAGCTTGTCTCTAAGGTCAAGCAAAGAACATCCACTGTTTGTTAACAGATATATAAAACAGCGTTCCGTCCATACGGCCCGCGGTTCTGGCCCGCGAGCGAAACTACAGCAGAGTGAAGAAGCTTCTACGGATTGAGCTCAGTGATTTTGTGGGATGATTACCTTTTGTACACAAGCTCGCATTCAGTGTTACAAAAACTACAATAGTCCATCTTGTTGGCCAGTTCTTTGCTGCAATACTTGGTCCTCATCAGTCATGCAGATCACATGGTTACAGAAAGAAAGGGAAACACACAGACAGAGACAGCCTGTGGGATGACTCCCGAGCGCAACGTGACGTCACCAGCAGGCAGAAT